AACACCATCATTAAGTTTGCCGACGACACAACAGTGGTAGGCCTGATCACCGACAATGATGAGACAGCCTATAGGGAGGAGGTCAGAGACCTGGCCGTTTGGTGCCAGGATAACAACCTCTCCCTCAATGTGACCAAGACAAAGGAGATGATTGTGGACTACAGGAAAAAAAGAGGACTGAGCACGCCCCCATTCTCATCGACGGGGCTGTAGTGGAACAGGTTGAGAGCTTCAAGTTCCTTGGTGTCCACATCACCAACGAACTATCATGGTCCAAACACACCAAGACAGTCGTGAAGAGGGCACGACAAAGCCTATTCCCCCTCAGGAGACTGAAAAGATTCGGCATGGGTCCTCAGATCCTCAAAAAATTCTACAGCTGCACCATCGAGAGCATCCTGACTGGTTGCATCACCGCCTGGTATGGCAACTGCTTGGCCTCCGACCGCAAGACACTACAGAGGGTAGTGCGTACGGCCCAGTACATCACTGGGGCCAAGCTTCCTGCCATCCAGGACCTCTATACCAGGCGGTGTCAGAGGAAGGCCCTCAAAATTGTCAAAGACTCCAGCCACCCTAGTCAAAGACTGTTCTCTCTGCTACCGCACGGCAAGCAGTACCGGAGTGCCAAGTCTAGGTCCAACAGACTTCTCAACAGCTTCTACCCCCAAGCCATAAGACTCCTGAACAGCTAATCATGGCTACCCGGACTATTTGCACTGCCCCCCCACCCTATCTTTTTACGCTGCTGCTACTCTGTTAATTATTTATGCATAGTCACTTTAACTCTACCCACATGTACATATTACTTCAACTACCTCAACTAGCCGGTGCCCCCCTGTATATATAGCCTCCCTACTGTTATTTTATTTTACTTCTGCTCTTTTTTTTCTCAACACTTTTTTGTTGTTGTTTTATTTTACTTTTTTTATTACAAATAATGCACTGTTGGTTAAGGGCTGTAAGTAAGCATTTCACTGTAATGTCTGCACCTGTTGTATTCGGCGCATGTGGCCAATCAAATTTGATTTGATTTGATTTGTGTAGATTGATGAGGATTTTTATATATTTAACCAATTTTAGAATAAAGTCAAGGGGTCTGAATACATTCCGAATGCACTGTATAGTGAAAACAATCGTGGTCCTAGAACTGAACCTTGAGGACAAGAACCGATGCAGAGCCTTGGTCTGACGCCATTCAAAGGTAATTTACCACCTTCACGAGTGCAATCTCACTATTATGATGGGGTCTAAAACCAGACTGGAGCATTATTTGTCTTCAGGAAGGCAGTGAGTTGCTGAGCACCAGCTTTTTCAAAATAATTTGAGAGGAATGGGAGATTCGATATTGGCCGATATATTTTTTTTTGGGGGGGGTAGATGCTTTATTACTGCCACATTTAGTGAGTTTGGTACACATCCGAAGGATAGGGAGCCATTTATTATGTTCAACATAGGAGGGCTAAGCACAGGAAGTAGCTCTTTCAATAGTTTAGTTGGAATAGGATCCAGTAGGCAGCTGGAAGGTTTAGAGGCCATGACTATTGTCGTGAATGTGTAGAGAAATACATGATTAAATAACCTGTTTCCATTGATCCGAGGTCCTGGCAGTTCTCTGCAGACAACTGAGTTTTGGAGAAATACGTATATTCAAAGAGGAGTCTGCAATTTGCTTTCTAATGATCATGATATTTTCGTCGAAAAAGAAGTTCATGAATTCCTCACTGCTGAAGTGAAGGCCATCCTCACTTGGGGAATGTTGGTTTTTAGTTAGCTTTGGTCAGAATAGAATTTTTGGGGGGAATTGTTTTTATTTTCTTCAAATCAGGTTTGAAAAGTAGGCTGTTCGAGCAGCAGTGAGGGCTTTTCGATATTGCACTGTACTGTCTTTCCAAGCTAGTAGGAAGACTTCCAATTTGGTGGAGCTCCATTTTCATTCCAACTTTCTGGAAGCTTGTTTCAGGGCTCAGGTATTTTCTGTATACCAGGGAGCTAGTTTCTTGTGACAAATGTTTTTTGTTTTCAGTGGTGCGACTGGATCTAGGATATTACGCAAAGTTAAGTTTAGATCCTAGGTTAGGTGGTTAACTGATTTTTGTACTCCGACGTCCTTGGGTAGGTGGAGGGAGTCTGGAAAGGGCACCTAGGAATCTTAGCATTGTCCGAGAATTTATAGTGCAGCTCCTGATAATCCTTGGTTGGGGTCTAAGCGAATAAAATGGTGATCCGATAGTCAAGGATTATGAGGAAAAACATTTAGATCCACAATATCTATTCCATATCTACTAGATCCAGGGTATGATTGTGGCAATGCGTAGGTCCCGAGACATGTTGGACAAAACCCACTGAGTCGATGATGGCTTCGAAAGCCTTTTGGAGTGGGTCTGTGGACTATTATCTGCCATGACTATGAGGTCCGATAGGAATTCAGGGAACTCAGTGAGGAACTCTGTATATGGCACAGGAGGCCTGTAAACAGTAGCTATACAAAGTAATTAAGTAGGCTGCATAGATTTCATGACTAGAACCTCAAAAGACTAAGACGCAGTCATTTTCTTCCGCGTAAATTGACATTTGCTGTCATAAATATTAACAACACCTCCGCCTTTGCGGGATGCGTAAGGGATATAGTCACTAGGGTAACCAGAAGGAGAGGCCTCATTTAACGCAGTAAATTAATCAGGCTTGAGCCATGTTCAGTCAGGCCAATCACATCATGTTTATGATCAGTGATTAGTTCATTGACTATGACAGCCTTGGAAGTGAGGGATCTAACATTAAGTAGTCCTATTTTGAGATGTGAGGTATTTTCACAATCTCTTTCAATAATGACAGGAATGGAGGAAGTCTTTATTCCAGTGAGATTGCTAAGGCGAACACTGCCACGTTTAGTTTTGCCAGACCTAGATTGAGGCACAGACCCGGTCTCAATGGGGAAAATTGAGCTGACTACACTGACTGTGCTAGGGGGAGACTCCACTAAGATATCTCATTGAGCTAGAGGAGTTAGAGCCATGTCTATGTTGATAGATAAGATGAGAGCACCCCTCCAGCTAGGATTGAATCCGTCACTCCTCAGCAGGCCAGGCTTGGTCCTGTTTGTGGGTGAGTCCCAGAAAGAGGGCCAGCTATCTACAAATTCTATCTTTTGGGAGGGGCAGAAAACAGTTTTCAACCAGTGATTAATTTGTGTGAGTCTGCTGTAGAGCTCATCACTCCCCCTAACTGGGAGGGGGCCAGAGACTATTATTCGATGCCAACACATATTTCTAGCTAAATTACACACTGAAGCTATGTTGCGCTTGGTGACCTCTGACTGTTTCATCCCAACATCATTTGTGCCGACGTGGATAACAATAACCCTATACCATCTACACTCAACAGTTTTGGCCTCAACCAGCACCATCTTCAGATTAGCCTTCATGTCGGTAGCCCTGCCCCCTGGTAAATAATGTATACTGAACAAAAATATAAACGCAACATGCAACAATTTCAACGATTTTACTGAGTTACAGTTCATAGAAGGAAATCAGTGAGTGAGTTTAAATACATTCATTAGGCCCTCATCTATGGATTTCACATGACTGAGCAGGGGCGCAGCCATGGTTGGGCCTGGGAGGGCATAGGCCCACCCACTTGGGAGACAGGCCCACCCACTGGGGAGCCAGGCCCAGCCAATCAGAATTCGTTTTTCCCCACAAAAGGGCTTTATTACTGACATAAATACTCCTCAGCACTCCCCCTTCTCAGACTGGATGTGAAGGTCCTGGGCTGGTGTGGTTACACGTGGTCTGCAGTTGTGAGGCTGGTTGGATGTACTGCCAAATTCTCTAAAAGGACGTAGAGAAATGAACATTAAATTCTCTGACAACAGCTCTGTTGGACATTCCTGCAGTCAACATGCCAATTGCATGCTCCCTCAAAACTAGAGACATCTGTGGCATTGTGACGTGTGACAAAACTGCACAATACTCCTCAGCACATTTTAGAGTGGCCTTTTATTGTCCCCAGCACAAGGTGCACCTGTGTAATGATCATGCTGTTTAATCAACTTCTTGATATGCCACACCTGTCAGGTGGATTGATTATCTTGGTAAAGGAGAAATGCTCACTGTTCAAATCAAATCATATGTTATTGGTCACATACACATGCACTGTTGGAGCTAGAAACACAAGCATTTCGCTACACCCGCATGTGAATGTGACCAATACAATTTTATTTGATTTTAACTGACGTAAACAAATTTGTGCACATCATTTGAGAGTAATAAGCTTTTTGTGTGTATGGAACATTTCTGGGATTTTTTATTTCAGCTCATGAAACATGGGACCAAAACCTTACATTTTTGTTGTTGTCCTCTGTAGCTCAGCTGGTAGAGCACGGCGCTTGTAACGCCAAGGTAGTGGGTTCGATCCCCGGGACCACCCATACACAAAAAAAAATGTATGCACGCATGACTGTAAGTCGCTTTGGATAAAAGTGTCTGCTAAATGGCATATTATTATTATTGTTCATGATCGCCGGATGATTATTTTTAAGTCTAATATTGTGGTTAATGGAGTCGCCAAAAATCAACTGTAGTTTCCTGAGGTGAATCAGCTGATGAGTGCATGCCATGGGGTCTCTCTCTCTCTCTCTCTAACTCGAGTGCTCTACTCTCTCTTCTCGTCATCTCTGTCTCTGGAAGAAGAAAACGAGAAGAGCTCCGACGAGAGAGTCTCTTTGGAGACTCTCTGCTCCTCTATCTCTCTCTTCATGGACTCTGACCCTTTCTCAGATGAGAGGATCTCTGTGCATGGAGAGGGTCTCTCTCTCCTCATCTATCTCTATAGATATGTTCTGTATCTGCTCTCGTCTCTCTCTTGCTCTCTCTCTCTCTTTCTCTCTCTCTCTCTCTCTATTCTCTCTCTCTCTCTCTCCTCTCTCTTCCTGTGTGTGTGTGCATGTGTTCTACTCTGAATAGGACCTGATTGGCCTGACTGCCTATTGTTACCTTTCTGCTCCACAGACTCTTCCGGAGATCTGCTCCGAACAGGACGAGATGGATTTCCTGATGGAGGCCCTGATTATGAGGTGCATTGGGCTGGAACACACAGGGCCCCATCCACTTCCTCCTGCACTACACACACACACACACACACACACACACACACACACACACACACACACACACACACACACACACACACACACACACACACACACACACACACACACACACACACACACACACACACACACACACACACACACACACACACACACACACACAAAGGATGCATACCATAACATAGCGTAACATGAGGCAGGCAGACGAGACCCAAACACTGTCATTCCATCACATAGCGCTCGGCAGGCTAGTCTGCTGCCATGTTTTGTGTACTCTCCTCATTCGCTGCTTGTTTTGGTAACCAGCTTCCCAGCTGTTGTTTATCATAGTGAGTCAGGTAATTCATCGCTATCGAGGAGACAGCAGCTGCTTGCCAGAAGAACCCCATCTCACCTCCAAATGGAGCTCTGCTGAAAGCATTAGAAAGCATATCTGTCAAGCAGATGCTGTCGGGCTAAAGCAGGCACAACAGAGTACATAATAAGCAGCTTGGGGTAAATTGGGACCCGGAGTGTTTCCTGGCCATGAAATAACCCTAGACATACAGATGTAAACACAGACACATTAATACATGCATATAATTCCATTGCATTTGCGTAGTGGCATAGAGCAGTAGAGTAGAGGCACTTACAGAAGTTGCACATATGGGGAACATTTTTAATAGCCTAGGGTCCGGGGAAAATGTGGCCTTTTAATAAACTAATTTCATGCAATTGACAGATTGCAACTGACAGATTTGCCGCGCATTCCCGACTGTAGGCTATGCCTTGTTATTGGGCTACACACAATCCACAGCTTGGCCTTTTTTAAAAGAAGCTATTGATCCTCTGTGGCTAAATTATGGGCCTTCTCGTGGTATAGTAGTCTATTCGGAATTATTTAATTTATTTCTGAACAGACAGCAGTAATTCTATAACTTTGTCAAATTTATTTCAATTTATCAGGGATGCTGCAGCTCCTCCAGAACCCTTCGCGCGGCGATGATTATATAAGGACATAAATTAAGTGCAACGCTGGAGAGATGAGAGTTGCAGGCTCATGTCTATCAGAGCAGAGAGAGGGAGAGAGGTCATAGAAAGTTAATCTCATTCTAGTTCTGTGAGCGATACAGGCGCGCTTCTCACACAGCCACGGCCACGTGTTGGTCTCAAACATAATGTTGCGCAAACCATAAACCCGGGCCGGCCCAACCCGAATCAACTTTTAGAATATCAGGTCCGGGCTGAAAATCTACTTTTTCACATGATGTTTTTTTTTGTCAAGAGAGGTACTGGATCCGGCCAAATAGGTTCTGGAACTAAACAGTCCAAAACAGAATGGTGCCGGATCCTGTGTACCCTGAAGCCATTACAGTCTGACCAACTCTCCGAGCCTGAGGTAGTGTATTCACCACCACTGTCCTTGTGTGTCCACAGTAAGTTCAGTCACCAGAACATAGTGCGCTGCATTGGGGTGAGTCTGCAGATCCTGCCCCGCTTCATCCTCCTTGAGCTGATGACTGGAGGAGATATGAAGAGCTTCCTGAGACAGAACAGACCCAAAACGGTGAGTAGCTTCCTGAGACAGAACAGACCCAAAACGGTCAGTAGCTTCCTGAGACAGAACAGACCCAAAATGGTCAGTAGCTTCCTGAGACAGAACCGACCTAAAACGGTCAGTAGCTTCCTGAGACAGAACAGACCCAAAATGGTCAGTAGCTTCCTGAGACAGAACCGACCTAAAATGGTCAGTAGCTCCCTTAGACAGAACCATCCTAAAACAGTCAGCGGCAGAGTGTCTCTCAACTGCCTCAACTGTTCAACAGCCCTGTAGGTCTGTGTAGGTGTATGCCAGTAGTAATGGTTTTGTATGTGTGGTGTTGTTTCAGAGTCAGAGCTCCTCCCTCACCATGCTGGAGCTGTTACACATGGCCAGAGACATCGCCTTCGGCTGCCGCTACCTGGAGGAGAACCACTTCATCCACAGGTTACTATGTCCTACCACAACCAAACCATTACCTTTTTGTATACAGTATTCATATTACATAAAGAGGTATTCAATGTTGTTTGTTGTGTGTTTCAGAGACATAGCTGCTAGGAATTGTTTGCTGACCTGCCCTGGGCCAGACAGAGTGGCTAAGATAGGAGACTTTGGAATGGCGCGTGATATATACAGGTACACTTAAACCACCTGTTCTATCTGTCCCGATACCACGCTCAGCATCTACCAAGCCTCTTGATCTTCATGACATGAACTGTTTATTTTCTCCATTGTGGGTTTTTCCCAGTTTAAATCTCAACATATCTGTAGGATCAGTCTGGTCTCACTCCATGCAGTGATGAAGACTCAAGAGTACTATTCCCATTGAGTTATACACCTAGAGTTTGAGATGATAACCATGACTCATTCTCCTCCATAGGGCCAGCTACTACAGAAAGGGTGGCCGTGCCATGCTGCCCGTCAAGTGGATGCCGCCAGAGGCCTTCATGGAGGGCATCTTCACCTGCAAGACTGACACCTGGTAACCCATTTACTCTTCTACATGATTTATCCAAAGTTGATTTATCCAAAGTTGAATGACTAGTATAAGTACATACAGCCAGTGTAAATGGGACAGCAACTGATTTCTCTTATCAACTTTTTAAACTGAGCTCTGTTCTCCCTCTGCAGGTCGTTTGGAGTACTGCTCTGGGAGATTTTCTCTCTGGGCTACATGCCTTACCCCTGCAAGACCAACCAGGAGGTTCTGGAGTTTGTGACGAGTGGGGGGAGGATGGACCCCCCTAAGAGCTGTCCAGGGCCTGTGTGAGTAGATCAGATTGAGCTGATGCAGAGTTAACTCTTGGCGGAGTTTATAATGCATTTAGTGTCGTTGCAAGGCCAATATGCAGTTTTAGACTTAACTCCATGATATTTAGTTTTTTTCTCCCTCTCCCTTCTGTAGTTACCGGATCATGACACAGTGCTGGCAGCACTGCCCTGAACACAGACCCAATTTCTCCACCATTCTGGAGAGGATCAACTACTGCACTCAGGTACTGACCCACTGGCAGCCAGGGATGCATTTCCTTTACAACACTCACCATTCATATTTACCATTTATGTTCTCTCTCTCTCTTCCACCCAGGACCCTGATGTGATCAACACGCCCCTGCCTGTGGAGTATGGCCCCACAGTGGAGGAGGAGTTGAGCACTGTGATCTGCCCTGACACCTCAAGCAGTCTGACCCCTCTGCTGGTGGCCCACTCTGCCTCCCAGGAGGTCTCTCCCCAGCTCAGCAGCCTGGGTCTGGGTCTGGGCCTGGGTATTGGTCCCACCCCGCTGCCCCAACCCCACAAGCCCTGTCTGCTGCTACATAGGCCCCAGCAGCTGCCTCAGGAGGTGGCCTCATACCGCGAGGCCCTGGAGCCCTGCTGGGCCGAGCCTGTCCCTGCTCCAGGGGCCTGCCCTGGGGCCTGGCTCCAACCCGAGCCCCTCCACCAGCCCTGCTCCAGGAACAGCTCCTTCTCAGGCAGCCAGAGGCTCAAAAACAAGACCAAGAACCTGTGGAACCCAACCTACGGCTCCTGGGTTCTGGAGAGCTTTGGTCGGGGGAAGACAGCACTGTCTCATACCCAGTCCATGCCCCTGTCCAGCAGCTCCTCCGCCCTCCAGGCAGCTACCCCTACCTCCGAGTGCACCGACTCTGGGTGCGATGGCAGCAGCGGCCTCCCTGCCCCCAGCAGCCTGTGCTCCTCATCCCCCCCCTCGTCCTGCCAGACCCTCTCTGCTCCCCAGCCCCAGGGTGCACCCAGCCTCAGCCTGGTGTCCTCCCGGAAGGGCCCAGCAGGAGGAGCCAGCGGGGGCCAGGCCGTGGACCTGGCTAAGCTGCAGAGCTTCCCCTGTGGCAACGTCAACTATGCCTACGACGAGCAGAGCTACGAGGCGGAGAGCCTGTCCCTGGTGGTGCCCAAAGGACCAGAGCCCTGCCCCAGCACCAGTGCTAGCACCAGCTGTGCCCCCAGCGGCTCTTTTTCCTCCTCCTGCTCAGGGGCAGGCCTGGGCACGGCCTCCTCCTGTATGCCCAAACTGCTACTGAAGCGCCACGCCAGCTACGGACACGAGGATGTGAGGAGGCACACCAAACCTGAGAAACCCACCCGGGACAGAGACTCAGGCTTCTCCCTGTCGGAGGACCTCAGCGTCACCCCTGTCTAACCCTGGCCACTGGGGGAGCGGAGCAGAACATTGGAACAGACCCCACACCTCACTGGCCACGCACAGGAACACACTACTGGAGACGGCAGCCATTTTGACCAAATCATTTTCACTCCCTTTTCATTTGGTTTAATATCGTTTTGGTACTACTGATGATGCGTTCTTGTTAGTATAGGCGGTGAGAGAATTATATGAAAGGCACAGTAGCAAGAAAACACAACAGTTTACAGACAGGAAGAGATGCTACATTGCCAGGAGACAGTTGGCATGTTCTCTTCCTGATGTGGAATATGACACAGCCCAAGAAGGCCATCACTGGCTCAGAAGCACATCCAAGCCTCAGAGGATTTCTAGGCCCTAGCTGGATTCATCTGCAATGTCTGGCATCCATTCAAATGTGCAGTGTCTCCTCTGCTTCGGGGCTCTTTTGTTAGTCCATTCCTTTCTTCTCTGTTTGTACCATTATCTTTAGCTGCTGGGTTCATTTCCCAACAACAATCCCCTACCGTTAGGCCCTTGAGCAAGGCCCATAACTCCACAACATGCTCTCCATCCAGAGGCACTGCACTGCATCTTGACCCTGTGCTCCTCTCAACTGTGTGTCTGTGTGATGTGTGGGGGGTTGAGAAATCAAGAGAGCAGAAAACATTTCCATTCTTCACTCAAACTATGGATAATAAAGTTGTATTGTAGGTTTACACTGGAATGAATGACTTGTGCCACCTACCGTTCCCTATAAGGCGCATGAGCAACATTTCATCTCGTTTAGAATTGTCATAGTTATACATTTACATTTTAGTCATTTAGCAGACGCTCTTATCCAGAGCGACTTACAGTTAGTGAATGCATACATGTTTTGTTTTTTTCATACTGGCCCCCCGTGGGAAAGAACCCACATCGCTGCCGGCCAAACCCTCCCCTACCTTGGACGACGCTGGACCAATTGTGCGCCGCCCATGGGTCTCCCGGTCGCGGCCGGCTGCGACAGAGCCTGGACTCGAACCAGGATCTCTAGTGGCACAGCTAGCACTGCGATGCAGTGCCTTAGACCACTTAGATAGCGTTTAAATGCAGTCATTTCCACACTTATTTTCTTAATACTGTAGTCTGTGTTGTATTATATTAATTGTTTACTAATACTTGACCCTCTCTATGTGAATTTAATCTTATGGTGACTATTCTCACTTTTTACTGAAGAGGGTTTTAGAGAAACCTAGAGCAGATAATGTGGTAGGAGATCCTCTGTAATGTGTCCATCTTGTTCCACCACAGAAAATGTTAATACTACTGAATTTCACCTTGGCAACACCAAAATATGAAATACTATTATTTGACATTAGAATTCCAACTGGACTAACTTTGTACATTTGTAGCAGTTATACTTCATTTATAAAGTGTATTTATGTTTATTATGTGTTGTTGTTGTTGTAGTTGAATACTGCCATTGGGTCTGCTGGAGCACTACAGGTTTGTAATGTAGTACTCTACTATACCTCCTACACTCAGCAGGGGACAGCATTCTCATATGAAGTACCAAATACATTTAGTTAGAGTTCGTATTTACTTAAGGGGTTGCTTGCCATTAACTTTTTTATTTCTCAGTATTTATGTCACAAGAGAACATTATTATTGTTATGAGCTGTTGTTAAAGCGGTACGGTTGATGATATACGTTAGCTTAATACACTGAAATAAACATTGTTTACTGGATATTTTAGGTTACGATAATGTTCTATGGTTCCATGATGCACTTTGTAGCCACCTCAAAGTCTCACAATATTTCGGATTGTAGCCTACAGGTTGACAAGTCTTGTCATGCTCTTGACATCACTATTAACCATGATTTGTAAACCTGCTGAGACCTTGAGGGATGGTGTTTCCTTTAGAAGCCTATATACAGGACCAGTCAAAAGTTTGGACACACCTACTCATTCCAGGGTTTTTCTTAATTTTTTACATTGTATAATAATAGTGAAGACATCAAAACTAGGAAATAACACATGGAATCATGTAGTAACCAAAAACGTGTTAAACAAATCAAAATATGTTACATTTGAGATTCTTCAAAGTAGCCACCCTTTGCCTTGATGACAGCTTTGCACTCTTGGCATTCTCTCAACCAGCTTCATGACGTAGTCACCTGGAATGCATTTCAATTAACAGGTGTGCCTTGTTAAAAGTTAATTTGTGGAATTTCTGTGTATGAGCCAATCAAAGTAGGGGTGGTATACAGAATATAGCCCTATTTGGTAAAAGACCAAGTCCATATTATGGCAAGAACAGCTCAAATAAGCAAAGAGAAACGACAGTCCATCATTACTTTAAGACATGAAGGTCAGTCAATTCAGAAAATGTCAAGATCTTTTAAAGTTTCTTCAAGTGCAGTCGCAAAAACCATCAAGCGCTATGATGAAACTGGCTCTCATGAGGACTGCCACATGAAAGGAAGACCCAGAGTTACCTCTGCTGCAGAGGAGAAGTTCATTAGAGTTAACTGCACCTCAGATTGCAGCCCAAATAAATGCTTCACAGAGTTCAAGTAACAGACACATCTCAACATCAACTGTTCAGGCCTTCATGGTGGAATTGCTGCAAAGAAGCCACTACCAAAGGACACCAATAAGAAGAAGAGACTTGCTTGTAAGATACAATCTCCCTCCCAAAAAAGTCTGAAAACACAATTGTATTTTATTTTAATATTGGTTTCAGATCCAAAGTTTTGTGCCTCTACACAGAAGAACAAACGCTATAAACTCTATGCAATATACTTGTTGTTGTATCTCTCTACCCAAAACAAATCAACTATTTAAGTGTTTTGTAATACAGCAATACAGATTTTTACTTTAACATATGAAATCCCAATACACAACCATTGCTAACTCATTCGGACAAGGCAATAGTGTTTTTCTGAGGTTAGTCTCATAGACTGTCAAAATGCAATACTTGCTAGAAAGATTCATTCATTTTTAATTCATCCTTCACCATGGTAATGATATGATCCTAAATACAAACTAGTGTATGTAACTGTATTAGCATAAAGTATGCCCAATGTCTTAAATAACATTTGAAACCAAAAACCAAAAATGACATGCTTGATTATCAACTTCAATCAATCATATCTAATGATACCTTGGAATATGGAGTGTGTTGGATTTCTATGCAATACTGTCCCTTACCTAGGCAGTATTGTATGACTTTCTAGAATGTACAGGCTTTACAATAACACGTTTCTGTATATTCATTAAATTTCATACCCTAAAATGTATAGTTTGTTCAGCAGGCACAGACATGCTAAACCTCCTCCCTCTTACCTCCACGCTACAACAGCTTCAACAATACAGTATTATTTCCAACAATACTTACTCAGAGATACAATTGGTTGTGCTGAATAAAGTAGGTAGGTAAGCTGTAAGTGTGATTCATACAGTAGGTCTACTTTGTGACTGAGAGGACCCTTGAGACTGTATAATACTGCCAGGGTCCTCTAACTGCTAGAATTATGTACAATTAATCTCCCTTCCGGGTGGCCATAGCTTAAAGGCACTCACTAGTTCACTCAGTAGTCAATTTACTAGTTTATTTACTAGTTCCTTCACTATTTCCTTTGTTGGTCAAAGAGCCCAGTGTCCTCTTCAGGTTGTCCAGTCCCCACATGTATCCGTCCTCTCGATTGCCCTCCTGCCAGGGTATGCAGTGGTCCAGAGTCTGTCCTTCAGGTAGACCTGTAGTCTTACCGAAGTCAATGAGCCAAACCTCAGCTCGCTCAGTGTGGTCATGGATGAAGAGGAGGGAACTCCCAATCACCTTGGAGAGAGAAGACGTGTACTCATTACAATATAATCATTCATATTATTCACCGGTATGCCTCACAAAAGCTCTTAGATGTGTTTAATATATCTAACGTGATGAACAAATCTTAACAGAAAACAGGTGCAGATGAACTAAAGCTCCTCTATTCACCTCGTGTCTCTTGAAGAATTCAGATGACTTCAGGGCTTGTTGAATTTTTACTAGTTTGCTCAGGTAGGAATTCTGTATGAGAGGAGGGGAAATAGGGGGCAATATGATTATTCTGGCTATAGAGTTGAGACTTGGGAACCTCCCTTGATAAATCCATTAAATCAATAGAGGTTATGTGTATTGGTAGTTAAATTCCATTTGCCATCTGTCGTTCCAACAGGATCTACTGTAGTGCATATTGCCATGTGGGTTGCTCATCCTATCCAAATATTTACCAATGTGTGTATTACTTTTCATGAGCTCTTACATGAGACAGGTAAAGTCAAACCAATTTGTTTGACTGTTCAAGTATTGCCTTTAAATGAGACAGGTATGTCTCTATTTGTCTAAGAATCAGCAGAACATGCAAATGAATGCGGCTGTAACACCATAACAGGTAGGACTAGTAGCTGTCAACCTACTAGTATGTTTGTGTTGACTCCGGAAAAGTCCCTGAAGACCTGTGTGACATCCTCCTTTGACCGGATCTTCTTGAAATCCGTATGACATGTACCATCAGCTTTCTGAGAGAAGGAACAGTCAATATGGTGATAAGCAGCACTGTCCACGTGCAATAAGGTCAAGGCTACAACATGACTAAATTGCATATGTTTTGAACTTCAAATGGAAAACTTAACAGCAACATTAAACCATTGAAAATGTTGTTGTTTTTTGTCCAGGAAAAGCCTTTTCTGGTTTAAATGGAAAATGATCTCTATGGTGGCGTTTTGAGTGAACACTGACTGAATTTCCTCCTTTACGTTGACACAGACTGACACACTGGTACTTGCCTTGATGCCCTCGATGCGGAACCCAAGGGTGTGTGTGGAGCTGAGGGTCTCTCTCCACTGCATGTAGCGGGGTTTGGTGACAGCCCTCTGGAGGTGCTCCTGGGGGCTGGGGGCCTCACTGTCCACCTCCAGCATCTTGTCATACAGGTCCCTACGGAGCTTCGGCCGCTCCCGCGCTCGCACCAGCTCCTCCTCCAGATACGTCCTGAGAAGAGGACAACAGGGCGGCCATGACACTGTTCACAATCCTCACAGTTAAGTGACTTTTCATTGTCTTGTTTGTGTATGATGATAGTGGAGTTGGTGTGGAAGCATTACAGACAATGACAATGCTATGAGTTTGTTATGCTTTGGATGGAAGAATTGACTTGCTTAGTCTTACTTGGTAGACAAAAAGAGAAGCAAAGTCAATGTTTGTGCGGTGAATGTCAGTTTCATTCTGCTAACCGAACTTCCTTTGTATAAAAGAAGTCAGGAGGAGACTCCAGGGTACACAGGCTGACAGTATAAGTGTGTGTTAGCTGCAAGTGAGAGAGCTTGGGTAATTCATTGATTGTGTTTGTCAGAAGGGAGACTCCAGGGGAAACCTGTGCCTGCAACCACCCTGTATATGTGTATGCGCGTGTGTACGTGGTTCTTTCTGTCTGTGTACAGGAAATGTGAGGCTCATTAGTGAGGGCCTCTGTGTGATGTGACACCCCGCCCACTATGTGTGGCAGGAAATCCTCACAGAAACAGTAACAGGTTTTTTATCAAGAGCAAATAAAACAGGTTTACAATGTGTATGTTCTGCTATCAGGAGCACTGAAGTGTAAGATGGAAAATGCTCTCTGATATTGCTAAATTACAGTGGGGAAAAAAAGTATTTAGTCAGCGACCAACTGTGCAAGTTCTCCCACTTAAAAAGATGAGAGAGGCCTGTAATTTTCATCATAGGTACACGTCAACTATGACAGACAAAATGAGAATATTTTTTCCAGAAAATCACATTGTAGGATTTTTAATGAATTTATTTGCAAATTATGGTGGAAAATAAGTATTTGGTCACCTCCAAACAAGCAAGATTTCTGGCTCTCACAGACCTGTAACTTCTTCTTTAAGAGGCTCCTCTGTCCTCCACTCTTTACCTGTATTAATGGCACCTGTTTGAACTTGTTATCAGTATAAAATACACCTGTCCACAACCTCAAACAGTCATACTCCAAACTCCACTAAGGCCAAGACCAAAGAGCTGTCAAAGGACACCAGAAACAAAATTGTAGACCTGCACCAGGCTGGGAAGACTGTATCTGCAATAGGTAAGCAGCTTGGTTTGAAGAAATCAACTGTGGGAGCAATTATTAGGAAATGGAAGACATAAAAGGCCACTGATAATCTCCCTCGATCTGGGGCTCCACGCAAGATCTCACCCCGTGGGGTCAAAATGATCACAAGAACGGTGAGCAAAAATCCCAGAACCACACGGGGGGACCTAGTGAATGACCTGCAGAGAGCTGGGACCAAAGTAACAAAGCCTACCATCAGTAACACACTACGCCGCCAGGGACTCAAATCCTGCAGTGCCAGACGTGTCCCCCTGCTTAAGCCAGGCCCGTCTGAAGTTTGCTAGAGTGCATTTGGATGATCCAGAAGAGGATTGGGAGAATGTCATATGGTCAGATGAAACCAAAATATAACTTTTTGGTAAAAACTCAACTCTTCGTGTTTGGAGGACAAAGAATGCTGAGTTGCATCCAAAGAACACCATACCTACTGTGAAGCATGGGGGTGGAAACATCATGCTTTGGGGCTGTTTTTCTGCAAAGGGACCAGGACGACTGATCCGTGTAAAGGAAAGAATGAATGGGGCCATGTATCGTGAGATTTTGAGTGAAAACCTCCTTCCATCAGCAAGGGCATTGAAGATGAAACGTGGCTGGGTCTTTCAGCATGACAATGATCCCAAACACACCGCCGGGCAATGAAGGAGTGGCTTCGTAAGAAGCATTTCAAGGTCCTGGAGTGGCCTAGCCAGTCTCCAGATCTCAACCCCATAGAAAATCTTTGGAGGGAGCTGAAAGTCTGTGTTGCCCAGCGACAGCCCCAAAACATCACTGCTCTAGAGGAGATCTGCATGGAGGAATGGGCCAAAATACCACCAACAGTGTGTGAAAACCTTGTGAAGACTTACAGAAAACGTTTGACCTGTGTCATTGCCAACAAAGGGTATATCACAAAGTATTGAGAAACTTTTGTTATTGACCAAATACTTATTTTCCACCATAATTTGCAAATAAATTCATTAAAAATCCTACAATGTGATTTTCTGGAATTTCTTTTCTCAATTTGTCTGTTATAGTTGACGTGTACCTATGATGAAAAGTACAGGCCTCTCTCATCTTTTTAAGTGGGAGAACTTGCACAATTGGTGGCTGACTAAATACTTTTTTCCCCCACTGTATATTACTCCAACAGTGATTTGTTTGCCATTTTCTCAACATTGCTTAATACCTTCTTTCACCCAATCCTCCTATAGGGGTATAGTATTCTGCACATTATTATAAAACAAACCTACTGCTACTCTCTACTCACTATTGCTGCTTCCCTACCTCACTCCCATCTTGCAGTCCATGACACTGGGTTCATCAAAATTGACCAGTAGATCAGTCATATGTAGGAATGGTTCCCCATCCCTCTCCACCACCCCATGGTATCCTGGTACAAAGCCCTGGAGCACGTCACCCTGCAATCTCTCAAAACACAGCTTCTCATTCTCTGAGAACTTCTTCAGAATGGTGCCTTCGCCGCCAGCTTTGAAATTACCTGGAAAAGAGAAGCACAGACACACTGACATTCCACAGAAAACTACTAATGGATTACCAGTTTATATTTACATTTTTTTTACATTTTAGTCATTTAGCAGACTCTTATTCACTGCGACTTACAGAAAGTGCATTCGTACGTAGACATTTTACCCAAATACAGAAGTTAATCTGGATAAGAGCGTCTGCTAAATGACGTAAATGTAAATGTAATGTTAATCAGTAGAGTCAGTGCTAGTTGGAAAAAACTATAAAAATGTCTCTCCCGAGTGGCGCAGTGGTCTAAGGCACTGCATTGCAGTGCTAGCTGTGCCACTAGAGATCCTGGTTCGTATCCAGGCTCTGTCGTAGCCGGCCGTGACCGGGAGACCCATGGGGCGGCGCACAATTGGCCCAGCGTCGTCCAGGGTAGGGGAGGGAATGGCAGGCAGGGATGTTGGTAGAGCATGGCGTTTGCAACGCCAGGGTTGTGGGTTCGATAAAAAAAAATTAATAATAATAATAATAATAATAATAATAATAATGATTAAATAAATAAATAAAAATAAACTAAGTCGCTCTGGATAAGAGCGTCTGCTAAATGACTAAAAATGTAAAATGTAAAAAAATTCTTAAAGTGACTTCTGAAAAAGTATTCACAACCCTATACTTTTTCCACATTTTTGTTGTGTTACAGCCTGAATTTAAAATGTATTAAAATTAGATAGTGTCACTGGCCTACACACAATACCCCATAATGTCAAAGTGGAATAATATTATTTTTAATTTTTACAAATTAATAAAAAATGAAAAGCTGCAATGTCTTGAGTCAATATGTATTCAACCCCTTTGTTATAGCAAGCCTAAATAAGTTGAGGAGTAAAGATTTGCTTAACAAGTCACATAATAAGTTGCATGGACTCACTCTGTGCACAATAATAGTGTTTAACATGATTTTTGAAAGAATACCTAATCTCTGTACCCCACACATACAGATAATTGTAAACAGATTGTAGAAATTCAAACAGATTCAACCACAAAGACCAGGGCGGTTTTCCAATACCTCGCAAAGAAGGGCAACTATTGGTATTTTTTAAATATAATAATAATGATAATAATAATAAAGCCATGTAGCAGATGCTTTTATCCAAAGCGAATTACAGTCATGCATTCACACATTTTTATGTGTGTGTAGCCACGGGAATCAAACTCACAATCCTGGCGTCACAAGCGCCATGCTCTACCAACTGAGCGATACAGGACCACAAAAAAGCAGACATTGAATATTCCTTTAAGCATGGTGAAGTTATTAATTACACTTTGGATGGTGTATCAATACACCCAGTCACTACAAAGATACAGGCATCCTTCCTAACTTAGTTGCCGGAGAGGAAGGAAACTGCCATGGTCGTCTAGTGCAGTGTCATTTGTCGAAATTACATCTGATTATAGTAATTACACCAATTCTAATACATACATGTTTTTTAAGTATATTGTTGGAATGTACTGCACACGCTGTATACATTATATCAAAATCAATATACATTTGTTGACAAGGGGCTCACAATGCCTCTTCCCCTGTCTGTCTGTCAGGCATGCACTCCTGGCCTTTGCAGGAGATTGTGAGGTGGTTAGCTCTGATAAAAGGGCAATATGGCAGCAGGTCTGGGTATGTCTGTGAATGCCTGGTTGGTGCTCTAGGAGTTTTCCTGGCATTCCCCCCAACCACACAGACAACAGCTACAGTTCAGTGGTCGAAGGGAGGGAGAGTGATTTGGAAAAAAGGCCAAACCATATATTTTTTGGGGTAATTATATATTTTTGTTAGTTGATTTTTACTATTTGTAAAGTTAGCTATTGTGTTTTTTCAATCTCTCATTGATAACCAGTTGGTGTGCATCTCATGCGGAGTTCCTGGAAAAATCCATAATTTGAAAATGTTAGGAATTTTTGCCCACTGGGTCCAATCTCTTCCCAGCAAACTGGGAACATTCCTAGGACATTAGTTAACATACAACATTACGTTCTAATTAGAGTTTTTATCTAACATTAAAATGATAACATCCCAATACATTAAAATTATGTTTTTGATAACAAAATATTTTCTTCTTCTTCAGAAAGTGATTAAATGAAATATCCTTGGAATGTTCTCCTAACATGCACTAAAATGTTGTGCACAACATCTGTAACAACCACCACAGAACATTCCCCTGAGGTTGTTCGATTCCCACGGGGGGCCAGTGTGAAAATGTATGCACTCACTAACTGTAAGTCGCTCTGGATAAGAGCATCTGCTAAATGACTAAAATGTAAATGTAAATGGTCAGCAAAGCAGCAAGCTAGAGCCCAACTAGCCTACTCTAAACCAGCTAGCATTATAACCCACAGTCAAAAACAAAATCTTTGCCAGCAGAGCAAAAGCAAAGAGAGAGCGGAGACTTACTCAATGAGATTGACGACTGGGGCCCACGCGATGGCAAAAGAGTTGAGACTGGGTTACCAGAGCCAGGGAGAGAAGCACTTCAGGGTAGAGGACGTAGCGCAGTGGTCACCAACCTTTTCTGAGTCAAGATCACTTTCGCAGTCAAAAAGCAAGCAGAGTTCTACCGCTCAGAATATTTCTTAAACAGGACTTCAAATGTAGCATTAACCTAATAAAAATAGTTATTTAGGAAGGAGGTTTGTGAAGTAGGCCTAACACATTATCACAGCATATTGGCTATAGGCCTGGCCTGCTGATATTCTTCTCAGACCATATTATATTTCAAAACTCGAGCTTTGATAACAAATAGATCAGTTGGTGTAGCACATGCGAGGCACGACTGATGGTACCTGCATCTGATGGTCATGGTGCTTGCAAAACAACTGGGAACTCGGGAAATAATACATGGTCAAATCATGACGTCAGTGATCTTCAGGTCGGAAAGTCGGAGCTCTAGAGTTTCCGACTTGGAATTCTGAGTTGGATGACCGTTCAAAACGATTGTTCCCAGTTGGATCTCATTTTTGTCAGAGTTCCCAGTTGTCTTGATCCTACTGAGGTCGGAAGTCCGAGATTTCCCAGTTGTTTTGAACACGGCATTAATCACAGCGGAGGGAAGGAGAGAGCAGCAGAGGTTCCACCTCTCACGGTCCCTACTCTCTCCTTCCTTTTCTCCAGTGAGACTGAGCAGAAAGAGGGGACACAGTCTTCCACCTGATGGTGAAACTCAAGTCGAACTGCATCTGCCTCATGCACAAATTCATGTTGTTCCAATGACCAGAGAAGGTGAAATATTCCTTGATATTAAAACAGACACGAGAAGCTGCTAATAATAAGTAAAATGCAAGGCTATCGATACACTTGGCTACTCATTCATTGCTGCGGGAGAAGTAGGGAGAAGCGCGTTTAATGTGTTGAATAAAAACAGACATGAACTCACTCATAAAAACAGCAGCTCTTTGCTGTATTCTTTGACAGTCTCTCTCTCGTCATGGTTTTAAAACTTATGAAACCTCATGTTGGCTAGTATCAAACTTTGCTGTAGCCGGGAAAGCTGTAGGCAAGGTGATTTTAGCTATCCGATTGGCCACTGCAGTAGGCACACTTATTTTAGCCACAGATCTCCCGGTCTGCCTGGTAGGCGGAGTTTGTCTTTTCAGACAAACGAAATGGTTCAAAATGGGAACACTTTGCCTGCCCCATGCGCAGGGCTTCTGAATCAATTGCAACTACAGACAACAGCGCAACACACACAAAAAAAAGGAGTGCAAGCCTTTGTTGGCTTTTCTACAGAAATGTTTGGTGATCGACTGGTTGGTGACCACTGCCATAGAGCTAACCGGCAAATAAGCAGGGGGAGGCGGAAGCCATACCGGGCTGCGGGAGAATCAAAGTGGGTAATCTGATAGGTATTCCAGGAGGGAGGTCCAAGGCAATAATCCAGAGGTGGGTCAGTGAAACAGGAGGCCAGCGATCATAGGAAGAATCCAGGCAGGTGGAAGTGATCACAGCAGTGCTTGATCTGAAAATGTGGTCGGAGGCTTCGTATTGAGGGTGTGACGCAATTGCAGAGCCTCCGGAGGCATGCAGAGGCCAAATCAAGCTCTGTACCGCATTGCCATGCGCCTTTCACATTTTGTAACAATGTAGAGGGCTCCGTATAGCTCCGCATTGACATGATTGGTTGATGGTAGGTGGGGGCGGGAGGTCCTGTATAAAACACAAACTCACTTCCTTGAGAACAGCTCTGTGAAGCCAAAAAGTAAGTTTGCTCTGACTTCTGCAGAGTCTGTATCAGTAGTAAATGTTGTAAAGCCACTGCAGACCACGGATTGACCATGCTGAGCCTTTCAGAGGTAGGCTAAAAGCTAACTAGCTAGCACTAATAAGCCAAGGTTGTAAAAGTCACAACTCCAGTAGGCCTAAAAGTGGACAAAAACAAAACAACAAAAAAGAGACGAAGAAATAACGAATCACAGTTAACGAGTAAACACTGTTAGGCGAAACAGGTACCAGGGAGAAGCGGCAGTAAAGCACGAAGCCAGAAAACACTTTTGCCCTGAAATGACATCACTGACACACAGTTACAGAGTTTAATGCCTGTGATAGGAGAAAACTGAGGTTGGATCAACAACATTGTAGTTACTCCACAATACTAACCTAAATGACAGTGAAAAGAAGGGAGCCTGTACAGAATAAAAAATATAAAAAAAATATAGGCACTAAAGTAAAACTGCAAAAAACTTCATGCCCTGAATACAAAGCGTTATGTTTGGGGCAAATCCAACACAAAACATCACTGAGTACCACCCTTCATATTTTCAAGAACGGAGGTGGCTGCATCATGTTATGGGTATGCTTGTCATCGGCAAGGACTCGGGAGTTGTTTTAGGATAAAAAGAAACAGAATAGAGCTAAGCACCTAGAGGAAAACCTGGTTCAGTCTGCTTTCAAACAGACACTGGGAGACAAATTCACCTTTCAGCAGGACAATAACCTAAAACACAAGGCCAAATATACACTTGAGTTGCTTACCAAGACAACATTGAATGTTCCTGAGTGGCCTAGTTAGTTTTGACTTAAATCGACTTGAAAATCTATGGCAAGACTTGAAAATGGCTGTCTAGCAATGATCAACAACCAACTTGACAGAGCTTGAAGAATTTTTCAAAGAATAATGTGCAAACATTGTACAATCCAGGTGTGGAAAGCTCTTAGAGACTTACCCAGAAAGACTTACAGCTGTAATCACTGCCTAAGGTGATTCTAACATGTATTGACTCCAGGGTGGGAATACTTATGTAAATGAGATATTTCTGTATTTAATTTTCAATACATTTACAAAAATTTCTAAAAACATGTTTTCACTTTGTCATTATGGGATATTGTGTGTAGATGAGTGAAAAAAGTATACATTGAATCCAATTTTTATTCAGGTTGTAACAACAAATGTGTAATAAGTTCAAGATACTCTTTGAAGAGGTAGTTGGGTTTTAGTTGTTTTCAGAAGATGGGCAGAGACTCTGCTGTCCTAGCTTCAAGGGGAAGCTTGTTCCACCATTGGGGTGCCAGGACAGAGAAGTGCTTTGACTGGGCTGAGCGGGAGCGGACCCTCTGTAGGGGTGGGATGGCCAAGAGACCAGAGGTGGCAGAATGTAGTGCTCGGGTTGGGTGTAGGGTTTGAGTATAGCCTGAAGGTTGAGGGGCAGTTCCTCAGTAGGTAAGCACCATGGTTTTCTAGTGGATGTGAGCGTCGACTGGAAGCCAGTGTAGTGTGTGGAGGGGCGGGGTGACATGGTAGAACTTGGGATGGTTGAACACCAGGCAGGCTGCAGAGTTCTGGATAAGTTGCAGGGGTTTTATGGCACAAGCGGGGAGCCCAGCCCACAGCGAGTTGCAGTAGTCCAGACGGGTGATGACAAGTGCCTGGATTAGGACCTGCACCGTTTCCTGTGTGAGGTACTAGGGTCGTACTCTATGGATTTGTAGAGCATGAACCTGCAGGAGCGAGTCACTGCTTTGATGTTTGCAGAGAATGATAGGTAGTTGTCTGGAGTCAAGCCAAGGTTCTTTGCACTCTGGGAGGAAGACACCGTGGAGTTGTCAACCGTGATGGAGAGGTCTTGGAGTGGGCAGGCCTTCTACGGGAGGAAATGCGAATCCGTCTTGTTGAGGTTGAGCTTGAGGTGGTGGGCCGACATCCAAGCTGAGATGTCTGCCAGGCACGCAGAGATGCCTGTCACCACCTGGGTGTCAGAAGGGGGAAGGAGAGGGCCTAGAACCGAGCCCTGAGGGACACCAGTAGTGAGAGGACGTGCTGCAGAGATCCTCTCCACATCACCTGGTAGGAGCGGCCTGACAGGTAGGATGCAATCCAAGAGTGTGCAGAGCCTGAGACGCCCAGCCCTGAGAGGGTGGAGCGGAGGATCTGATGGTTTATGCTGTCGAAGGCAGCGGACAGATCTTGGAGGATGAGGAGAGGAGAGAGAGTCAGCTTTGGCAGTACGGAGAGCCTCCGTGACACAGAGGAGAGAGGTCTCGGTTGATTGACCCGTCTTGAAGCTGGTTAGGGTCAAGAAGATTGTTTCAGATTGAATTTGCAGTTGAGTGTGACTAATAGTATACAGTACGGTCTGTGTCTTGTGTGCTTTATTTTGTGTGGAATGTGTACAGTATGTATCATCTTACATTAGTGATTGGTTTTTGGTGTGCTGCTCTGATAGGTGAGGGGTCATGACCATGATGACTGTGCTTTACCTTTGTGTCCAGCTAGTTGAACCCAGGACAGGTTTCTTCTCTGGGAGCCAACAAAAGGCCAGTTGACGATAGTCTCTATCTTCCACCAGGGTTTGCTCTGCTGAAGGAAGACCAAGCACAGTAACAGTCAGCTTTACCTCTTTGGAGTATCTGGTTCATTATCAACCAGGCAGCGACACTGTCCTCCTCAAGCCAGCACTCACTAGTCGGGTGGATGTCAATTAAGTTGTATAACAATAATGATCATTGAATCAAATTGTTGATGGACAGCTGTCATAATCACTTGGCCACTGTTACTGTGTATGGTCCCACCTGACTGGCTTGCTGTTTCCATGTGATTTGCATTAAGACACAGTCATGGACAGCTTGTTCAACGAGATGTGGATGATTCAGGCAGAGACATGATGACTTTGGTTCCCTATCTGTGATGAGACGTTGAGTGAGTCACACAGCATGTTCACAGCAGAAATGCTTCACAGACAGTACTTAGCACTTGCTTGATGACACAGAGGTGAAACATAACATTTTATTTTCTTACACTCTAAATGGAATCATTTCCACACCAATTCGGTTTTAGACCTGGACATGGCACTGTTTCAGCTGATGTGTTAAATTGCATAGATCATAAAAATCATTATGCTGCCTTCTTTATAGACCTCTCCAAGGCCTTCAACACTGTTGACCATCACATTCTCATAACAATGGTTGACTGAAATAGGCCTGTATCAGGCTTCTTGCAAGTGGTTTGAGAATTATCTGGCAGACATCACATTGTGATTTCTGATGGTGTTAAGTCTAGTTTTCTAGATATTAAAACTTGTAATGTTCATCTGTAAACAGACGACACTTATGTATGCCATTGCCCCAACTGATGACCAGGCTATGTTAGAGCTGCAATCTGGCCAGGTTGCCTTACAGAAAGCCCTGGTAGGTTTAAAACGTATACTTAATGTGGGCAAGACTAAATACATCTTGTTCTCTAATTCTCGCAAAAATGTTTATGATGGACTACATATTTATTCATTCGAAGGTTCTCCCATTGATCAGGTCCCCACCTATAAATATCTGGGCATTTGGATGACAAAGACTGAATGTTTAAAAAATATACAGATGAGCTCCAGTGCCTTGCAAAAGTATTCATCCCCCTTGGCGTTTTTCCTATTTTGTTGCATTACAACCTGTAATTTAAAATGATTTTTATTTGCATTTCAAATAATGGACATACACAAAATAGTCCAAATTGGTGAAGTAAAAAGAAAAAGAAAAAAGTGTTTAAAAATAATTCTACAAAATAAATAACGGAAAAGTTGTGCGTGCATATGTATTCACCCCCTTTGCTATGAAGCCCCTAAATAAGATCTGGTGCCACCAATTACCTTCAGAAGTCACTTAATTAGTTAAATAAAGTCCACCTGTGTGCAATCTAAGTGTCACATGATCTCGGTATATATACACACCTGTTCTGAAAGGCCCCAGAGTCTGCAATACCACTAAGCAAGGGGCACCACCAATAAAGTGGCACCATGAAGACCAAGGAGCTCTCCAAACAGGTCAGGGACAAAGTTGTGGAGAAGTACAGATCAGGGTTGGGTTATAAAAAAAGATCTGAAACTTTGAACATCCCATGGAGCACCATTAAATCCATTATTTAAAAAATGGAAAGAATATGGCACCACAACAAACCTGCCAAGAGAGGGCCGCCCACCAAAACTCACAGACCAGGCAATGAGGGCATTGATCAGAGAGGCAACAATGAGACCAAAGATAACCCTGAAGGAGCTGCAAAGCTCCACAGCGGAGATTGGAGTATCTGTCCATAGGACCACTTTAAGCCGTACACTCCACAGAGCTGGGCTTTACGGAAGAGTGGCCAGAAAAAAGCCATTGCTTAAAGAAAACAATAAGCAAACACGTTTGGTGTTCACCAAAAGCCATGTGGGAGACTCCCCAAACATATGGAAGAAGGTACTCTGGTCAGATGAGACTAAAATTGAGCTTTTTGGCCATCAAGGAAAACACTATGTCTGGTGCAAACCCAACACCTCTCATCATGCTGTGGGGATGTTTTTCCATCGGCAGGGACTGGGAAACTGGTCAGAATTGAAGGAATGATGGATGCCGCTAAATACAGGGAAAGACATTTAAATGTATTGGAATGGCCTAGTCAAAGCCCAGACCTCAATCCAATTGAGAATCTGTGGAATGACTTAAAGATTGCTGTACACCAGTGGAACCCATCCAACTTGAAGGAGCTGGAGCAGTTTTGCCTTGAAGAATGGGCAAAAATCCCAGTGGCTAGATGTGCCAAGCTTATAGAGACATACAGTGGGAAATCTTGCTTGTTTGTAGGTGACCAAATACTTATTTTCCACCATAATTTGCAAATAAATTCATTAATAATCCTACAATGTCATTTTCGGGAAAAAAAAGTATATTATTATCATAGGTACACGCCAACTATGACAGACAAATTGAGAATTTTTTTTCCAGAAAATCACATTGTAGGATTTTTAATGAATTTATTTGCAAATTATGGTGGAAAATAAGTATTTGGTCACCTAAAAACAAGCAAGATTTCTGGCTCTCACAGACCTGTAACTTCTTCTTTAAGAGGCTCCTCTGTCCTCCACTCGTTACCTGTATTAATGGCACCTGTTTGAACTTGTTATCAGTATAAAAGACACCTGTCCACAACCTCAAACAGTCACACTCCAAACTTCACTATGGCCAAGACCAAAGAGCTGTCAAAGGACACCAGAAACAAAACTGTAGACCTGCACCAGGCTGGGAAGACTGAATCTGCAATAGGTAAGCAGCTTGGTTTGAAGAAATCAACTGTGGGAGCAATTATTAGGAAATGGAAGACATACAAGACCACTGATAATCTCCCTCGATCTGGGGCTCCACGCAAGATCTCACCTGTGGGGTCAAAATAATCACAAGAACGGTGAGCAAAAATTCCAGAACCACACGGGGGGACCTAGTGAATGACCTGCAGAGAGCTGGGACCAAAGTAACAAAGCCTACCATCAGTAACACACTACGCCGCCAGGGACTCAAATCCTGCAGTGCCAGGCGTGTCCCACTGCTTAAGCCAGTACATGTCCAGGCCCGTCTGAAGTTTGCTAGAGTGCATTTGGATGATCCAGAAGAGGATTGGGAGAATGTCATATGGTCAGATGAAACCAAAATAGAACTTTTTGGTAAAAACTCAACTCGTCGTGTTTGGAGGACAAAGAATGCTGAGTTGCATCCAAAGAACACCATACCTACTGTGAAGCATGGGGGTGGAAACATCATGCTTTGGGGCTGTTTTTCTGCAAAGGGACCAGGACGACTGATCCGTGTAAAGGAAAGAATGAATGGGGCCATGTATCGTGAGGTTTTGAGTGAAAACCTCCTTCCATCAGCAAGGGCATTGAAGATGAAACGTGGCTGGGTCTTTCAGCATGACAATGATCCCAAACACACCGCCCGAGCAACGAAGGAGTGGCTTCGTAAGAAGCATTTCAAGGTCCTGGAGTGGCCTAGCCAGTCTCCAGATCTCAACCCCATAGAAAATCTTTGGAGGGAGTTGAAAGTCTGTGTTGCCCAGCGACAGCCCCAAAACATCACTGCTCTAGAGGAGATCTGCATGGAGGAATGGGCCAAAATACCAGCAACAGTGTGTGAAAACCTTGTGAAGACTTACAGAAAACATTTGACCTGTGTCATTGCCAACAAAGGGTATATAACAAAGTATTGAGAAACTTTTGTTATTGACCAAATACTTATTTTCCACCATAATTTGCAAATAAATTCATTAAAAATCCTACAATGTGATTTTCTGGATTTTTGTTTCTCATTTTGTCTGTCATAATTGACGTGTACCTATGATGAAAATTACAGGCCTCTCTCATCTTTTTAATTGGGAGAACTTGCACAGTTGGTGGCTGACTAAATACTTTTTTCCCCCACTGTACCCCAAGAGACTTGCAGCTGTAATTGCTGCAAAAGGTGGCTCTACAAAGGGGGAGAAATAGTTATGCACGCTCAAGTTCTATTTTTTTGTCTTATTTCTTGTTTGTTTCACAAGAGAAAATATTCTGCATCTTCAAAGTGGTAGGCATGTTGTGTAAATCAAATGATACAAACCCCCCCAAAATAAATTTTAATTCCAGGTTGAAAGGCAACAAAATAGGAAAAATGCCAAGGGGGGGTGAATACTTTCGCAAGCCACTGTAGTTAAAAAGCTAAGATTTAAAGTGGGCTTATTTTTCAGAAATAGATCTTGCCTCTCCCTAAATAGCAGGAAGCAGATTGTTTACAAAGCTCTACTACACAAGCTTCCAACTTACCTAACTTTGCTACTAAAGTATAAAAGAATGAGCTACCAAACCCGCTCGCAGGGTGGGTTAACTCTTGAGGTCCCTCTGGTCTCGACCAATTGATTGATTGTATTGGTTTATTTGTTAAAATTGTAGCATTTTTTTTATTCTTCGTGTTTTATTTGGAATGTCCATTTTCTTGATTGTGAAGAGGTTTGTACTCAGGACACCATTGGTCTCAAATTGGGCTCCCCTGAATAAATAAAAGTAAAACCATATTTTTTTTAAAGTACGGAGATACAATATTCAGACCCCTTGACTATTTCCACATTTTGTTACGTTACATCCTTATTCTAAATAGGATTAACTTAATTTACACACAATACCCCATAATGACAAAGCGAAAACAGGTTTTTAGAAATGTTTGCAAATGTATTAAAAAAAAAAAACAGAAATACCTTATTTACATAACTATTCAGACCCTTTGATATGAGACTCGAAATTCAGCTCAGGTGCATCCTGTTTCCATTGATCATCCTTGAGATGTTTCTACAACTTGATTGGAGTCCACCTGTGGTAAATTCAATTGATTGGACATGATTTGGAAAGGCACACACCTGTCTATATAAGGTCCCACAGTTGACAGTGCATGTCAGAGCAAAAACCAAGCCATGAGGTCGAAGGAATTGTCCATGGTGACTGTACATGACTGTACGTACATAGCCCAACCAGAAGCCATGGATTACAGGCAACATCCGCACTGACCTAAAAGGGTAGAGCTGCCACTTTCAAGGAGTGGGACTCTAACCCGGAAGCTTATAAGAAATCCTGCTATGCCCTCAGACGAAACATCAAACAGGCAAAGCGTCAATAAAGGACTAAGATCGAATCGTACTACACCGGCTCCGACACTCGCCGGATGTGGCAGGGCTTGCAACCTATTACAGACTACAAAGGGAAGCACAGCCGCGAGCTGCACAGTGACACGAGCCTACCAGACGAGCTAAATTACTTCTATGCTCGCTTCGAGGCAACTAACACTGAAACATGCATGAGAGCATCATCTGTTCCGGACGACTGTGTGATCACTCCCTCTGTAGCCGATGTGAGTAAGACCTTTAAACAGGTCAACATTCACAAGGACGCAGGGCCAGACGGATTACCAGGACGTGTCCTCCGAGCATGTGCTGACCAACTGGCAAGTGTCTTCACTGACATTTTCAACCTCTCCCTGTCTGAGTCTGTAATACCAACATGTTTCAAACAGACCACCATAGTCCCTGTGCCCAAGAACACTAAGGTAACCTGCCTAAATGACTACCGACCTGTAGCACTCACGTCTGTAGCCATGAAGTGCTTTGAAAGGCTGATTATGGCTCACATCAACACCATTATCCCAGAAACCCTAGACCCACTCCAATTTGCATACCGCCCCAACAGATACACCGATGATGCAGTCTCTATTGCGCTCCACACTGCCCTTTCACACCTGGACAAAAGGAACACCCATGTGAAAATGCTATTCATTGACTACAGCTCAGCGTTCAACACCATAGTGCCCTCAAAGCTCATTACTAAGCTAACGACCCTGGGACTAAACACCTCCCTCTGCAACTGGATCCTGGACTTCCTCACAGGCCGCCCCCAGGAGCTGGCCGTGTGTGCCAGGACAACAACCTCTCCCTCAACGTGATCAAGACAAAGGAGATGATTGTGGACTACAGAAAAAATAAGAGTACCGAGCACGCCCCCATTCTCATCGACGGGGCTGTAGTGGAGCAGGTTGAGTGCTTCAAGTTCCTTGGTGTCCACATCACCAACAAACTAACATGGTCCAAGCACACCAACACAGTCGTGAAGAGGGCACGACAAAACCTATTCCCCCTAAGGAGACTGAAAAGATTTGGCATGGGTCCTCAGATCCTCAAAAGGTTCTACAGCTGCACCATCGCGAGCATCCTGACTGGTTGCATCACTGCCTGGTATGGCAATTGCTCGGCCTCCGACCGCAAGGCACTACAGAAGGTAGTGCGTACGGCCCAGTACATCACTGGGGCCAAGCTTCCTGCCATCCAGGACCTCTATACCAGGCGGTGTCAGAGGAAGGCCCTAAAAATGGTCAAAGACTCCAGACACCCTAGTCATAGACTGTTCTCTCTGCTACCGTACGGCAAGCGGTCTAGGTCCAAGATTCTTCTAAACAGCTTCTACCCCCAAGCCATAAGACTCCTGAACATCTAATCAAATGGCTACCCTGACTATTTGCATTGCTGCCCCCTCCCCTATTTTATGCTGCTGCTACTACTCTCTGTTTATTATCTATTCATAGTCACTTTAATAACTCTACCTACATGTACTTATTACCTCAATTACCTCGACTAACCGGTGCCCCCGGTATATAGCCTCGCTATTGTTATTTTACTGCTGCTCTTTAATTATTTGTAACTTTTCTTTCTTATTATTTTCTCATATAATGTTTTTGGTATTTTTTTGGTATTCTTTCTTAAAACTGCATTGTTGGTTAAGGGCTTGTAAGTAAGCATTTCACTGTAAGGTCTACACCTGTTGTATTCGGCGCATGTCACAAATAAAATTTGATTTGATTTGATTTAGAGCTCCGAGACAGGATTGTGTCGAGGCACATATCTGGGGAAGGGTATCAAAAGATTTCTGCAGGATTGAAGGTCCCCAAGAACACAGTGCCCTCCATCATTCTTAAATGGAAGAAGTTTGGAACCACCAAGACTCTTCCTAGAGCTGGCCACCCAGCCAAACTGAGCAATGAGGTGAGGAAGGACCTTGGTCAGGGAGGTGCCCAAGAACCCAATGGTCACTCGGTCAGAGCTCCAGAGTTCCTCTGCGGAGATGGGAGAACCTTCCAGAAGGACAACCATCTCTGCAGCACTCCACCAAATCAGGCCTTTATGGTAGAGTGGCCAGACGGAATCCACTCCTCAGTAAAAGGCACATGACAGCCTGCTTGGAGTTTGCCAAAAGGCACCTAAAGGACTCTCAGACCATGAGAAACAAGATTCTCTGGTCTGATGAAACCAAGATTGAACTCTTTGGCATGAATGCCAAGCGTCACGTCTGGAGGAAACCTGGCACCATCTCTACGGTGAAGCATGGTGGTGGCAGCATCATGCTGTGTGGATGTTTTTCAGCGGCAGGGACTGGGAGACTAGTCAGGATCTAGGGAAAGATGAACGGAGCAAAGTACAGAGAGATCCTTGATGAAAACCTGCTCCAGAGCGCTCAGTACCTCAGACTGGGGCGAAGGTTCATCTTTCAATAGGACAACGACCCTAAGCACACAGCCAAGACAACGCAGGAGTGGCTTCGGGACAAGTCTCTGAATGTCCTTGAGTGGCCCAGCCAGAGCCCGGACTTGAACCCGATCGAACAGCTCTGGAGAGACCTGAAAATAGCTGTGCAGCGACACTCCCCATCCAACCTGACAGAGCTTGAGAAGATCTGCAGAGAAGAATGGGAGAAACTCCCCAAATACAGGTGTGCCAAGCTTGTAGCATCATACCCAATAAGACTTGAGGCTGTAATCGGTGCCAAAGGTGCTTCAACAAAGTACTGAGTAAAGGGTCTGAATACTTATGTAAATGTGATATTTCCCAAAAAATGCATTCTTAAAAGCTGTTTTTGCTTTGTCATCATGGGGTATTGTGTGTAGATTGAGGAGGGGGGGGGGGGGGGGGGGGACAACAACAACAATTTAATAAATGTTAGAATAAGGCTGTAATGTAACAAATTGTGGAGAAAGTCAAGGGATCTGAATACTTTCCGAATGCACTGCAAGTCCAGTGACAATGACAATTCAGGGTAATGAATGAAACAGAGGTTGGATGTCACTATGCAGTATGCTGAGATTGCAGTAAAAGGAAGTGAAGCCCTGGTCATTGGCCGCAGTGAAAAAACACTACTCATTCTGTTGATTGTGTACACTGAAAACAAATAACAGAACTCACAGCTACTCTGAAATGTCAAGTGACACTCGCTGGTGTTGTTGATGTGGCATATAAAATTGACTTTCTGTTGGTATAGGCAGCTATGTGGGTGTCATATGTCCACACAGGCCTTCAACTTTCTCTCAAACACAGAATTACCAACAGTGTACAGTGACAACGTATTAATGCACATGTATTTTAAAAAAGCCATGTGCTCTGTCACGATAAGGAGATATGAAGATATAGTCCTTTCAGTTGTGGCTACATATAATTCTATAGACGTAATGTAAAAGCTAGTCTGAATTTCAACATTGTAGTAGGTATTTCAATTCATGAAAATAAATGATCAATTTCCATAACGGTATGAGGCGTGTTCTCACAAATTACAATAACTAAATGTTTGTGAAACGTTTTTGTTTCTTTAACCATCTACTAATACATTCCTAGTGAGGTCTGGGACACACCTCTTTTGTAAAGCCGTACCTATTGTGTTTGACAGACTGATGGAAAATAAGGCTCCTAGAATCAGCTGCAAAGAAAGCCCACTACACTTGAACTTGCCCCATTAAAATGACAGAACAGTCAACAAGACCTGGAACAAGGGAGTGACAATACTGAATGATTCACTCAAGCTGTTCATTTTCCTTGCAACGGTTTCTCAACCTGGCAGATTTGAATATGAGCAATCATTAACATACCATTTTTTTTCACAAATTGCTAGTGCCAATAAATGTGATGCCATCAAAGTGTATTACTCTTTTTCACTACAAGTTATTGTCAGAGGGGAGAGTGGGGTAAGTTGAGCCAAAGGGGCAAGTTGAGCCACCCTTGTTTCTAGGAAACCATTCACAAAATTAATCATTTTACCAAATATTTAGGAAGAGGTCATCCTTTCATGGAATCTGAAGGAAGAAACCAAATGGAAAAAGTGGTAAGCAAGTTAGGTCCAAAAACACAGATTTTCACCAAGTCAAATGAATTTATTGTGTTAGAGGTTTCATGATGCTTCTATCTAAACCAAAGTAGATAATTTTAAGAGTATTCTATACATCAGTTGGGGTCTCTATAAGCTTCAATATGAGGTCTTAAACCTATCATGAAAGTGCATCCTTGTAGCTGTGTGGGCTAATATAGTCAAAATGTTTGACTTGGGGTAAGTTGCGCCAATGGCAAGTTGTGCAAATGTTTGTGTTTTCTTCCCAGGCATAATGCAAGGCATTATCACTGGGATATGAGCTAACAACAGTACATGGCCCTTGTTAAAAGTGTAAAAAAAAGTAAAAAAAGTTAAGCCTGCATTAAAGATGCCTAAAATGTTTAAAAGACAAAAAAGCAATTGTGTTGAATTGTGTTAGGGAAATAAAGATAGACATGGTTTTCAAAAGGTGGTGGTAATATTTCATTCAGAACAGAAATTTGTAGGCAGATTAACTTACCCTGTCCTTGTGGCTCAACTTACCACATACCCAGGGTGTCATGCCAAGACACTACTTATTTTGAACAAGTGATTTTTTCAAAACTGTAATGTTTACATGAATTCTGATTATTTCCAGGGATACACAACATCTTGAAATATATGTAGATACATTTGTTAGAAAGAGTCATATATTTTCCTTGACAGAGTGATGCTGAATGTAAAAAATGGCTCAACTTACCCCACTCTCCCCTACTGGAAACACAGAATGGGTAACCTAGTGTACAAAGTAGTACTTTTCTTGTTGTGTTGAAAGGGCAATAACTAAATGTCAATGTGGCTAAAATTTGCACATAAGACTATGGGGGTGGCTTGTATTGTAAGTGTGGGGGCTGACTGGACACTTCATCTGCTATATTAAAAAGGTTAGCGAGTTAATGAAATCTCTATTTTCAGAACAGGGAGGCACTTTTTCCATTACTATTGTTTGTTTTAAATGACTGGAAAGATCAATAAAAGGGTTGGGTATGAGAGCTTTTCAAGTGGCCTGTCATACTGACCTGGCCCAGTTGGAGAGCACTGAGCACCACTATGTAGTGTACACAGCTCAGCCCTCTTCCAGCAGGGCCAGGCAATGTGTATTCAGTGTGTTTAAAGGAAGCTGACAGCTAAGATCCTTCTATGGAGATGGCTGAGCATAGCTCTGAAGAGTTACAGAGGTACAGAGACACAGATCTCCAGATGTCGGAGACAAAGTCAAATATGGCTTCTAACAAGCAGATTATTATTCACTTCGATCAGATTTTCCACCCAGTGGTGTAGAGGAACAGAGGCCTTAGAAGAGAAGTCATACATTGAATTATGTTTTTACGTTCACAAGTGACATTATTTGGAGACTTTGTTGGATCATCATATAGGTATTCACAGCTACTTTTAAGTTTGAGGATCTAAAACTACTCTATTGTCCTGACAACACAACTGTATCACTATTTTATAGAGCAAATCATCAGTCAAGAGTGTTGAAGTCAAATACAGCACCACCCTCAGTCCTCCTAAATCATACTGCAGGTCAGGCTTACAGCAGCGCCTGTATTATGTGCTATAAAGACATGGCTAAAACAAAATGGCTGCTTCAGACCAGCAACCAGGGCCCATCAGAAATGAAGGGAGTTAACTCAATTACGATGGGGGGGTAACTTAATTCCTTTCCACTTCTGTGTTGTCTCACAGAAGAGCACCACAAAAGAGGAAATGACCTTTAAGATAGCTAACTATAGGCCTATCTGACATGATCTCAAACAAGACAAAATAAACCATTAGAGTAGTGTCTGTAATAAGTGTCTGTAATTACCCAAGTGATAAGCGCTGACTGATCACTTGGCTGTTGATTAGATACGAAAATGTGCTGTTTTTCACTCAGGTTCAGTGACTCATTGTTACTGCACTATAAAGAAGAAAACATTATACAGATCCTCAAAACAACTGATTATACCAGTATCACACGTACTGTATGTGGCTTTATGTCTTGTGTATGAAAGGGTTTCTAAAATATTAATTAATACATTAAGGAAAGGACGTTTAGTACATTCATCAGTAGGCTTACATCCATTAAAGATGCACTATGCAGAAATCGCTCCGCCATTTCCTGGTTGCTCAAATTCTAATAGTTTATGTGACAAAACAAGCAAGTATAGTGTAGAGAATCATTCTACCATTTAAACCGCTGTGAAATATATTTTCTATAACCAAAAACATTGTATTTTCAGCCGTTTGAAGTTGGTGTACAAAACCGAAAGTAAAAGGGAAGCATAGAAAAAGCATACATAGAACAAATGTACCGCTTCTTAGAATTGCCTTCAATGAGAATGACAGATCTATAACTCACATTTCTATGTGCATTTTGTTGGGTTGCCCAAAAAGTTACATATTACAGCTTTAAAGAATGAAGAAGATCTTCATAAATCAGAGAAGAGACGTGTTTCCAGTTATCATACAACTATAGCCTAGCCCTTCCCCTCCCTTTGGCTCCTTGGCTATTTGCTAATGTAACCTAATACACACTCAAGACCGTGCTCGTTGAGCATGTAGGTCAATACATATAATACGTGTGATCAAATAACCACATCGATGTCATTACTTTAGACAATTGGACCCTGCTTTAAGATATTTTCTATATGTCTGTTTGCAATGTGATTTGAATTTAAGAACAAATCTAGTAACTTTTCAAGAGCCTTCAACATTGTTCTTCATCCAAACATGGTACTGTACTTGGCATGTAGATAGGGCTAGATTTATTCTTCCCCATGACAGGACAGAGTTCTCAGTCATAATATCAGAATGACTGCCAGATCTGAGATATGCTAGTAGACAAAACATTTCTAGCCTGTATCTATGGGTAACAGGGTTGACAAAAGTAAAAGACTGCAAAAACTAAACTTAAGAATGGGAAGCACAGAAATAGCACACACAGAACAGATCTACCGCTTCTTAGACTTGCTTTCAATGAGAATGACAGATTTATAACACATTTCTATGTGAATTTGGTCGGGTCGCCCCAAAAAGTTACATATTGCAGCTTTAACAGGGTTGACCTTAAAATGAGGGGCAGATGTAAATGAATTACTAACCACATGAAATAAAAAGTAATCTTCAGAAATGACTGTCACAACTAGTGCTTAACTATATGATGGTGAAAACCTGGATACATTTTGGGGTTAAGTGGGTTAAAATCCTCCTAGAAGTCACAGAGGGTGCCTAGAAGTTACAGACATAAAAATGCAGAATTTTGGCACTTTAGCAAGTCTTTATTCATATAAAAATCTGATTTATTGAATTCTCCATGTCATCTATAATAAAGGTAGCAGAGTTTCTCAACCCAGCTTTATTAAAGGGCAATTCATTTACTATAACAGGCTTTTAAAATTCAATATTGGTGCACAATTTCTCCTTAAAATATGAAAAGAGACGCAAAAGGCACTTATAACAACTTGACTTTATTTTAATAAAGAATAGTCTGTACTCACTTCTCCCGTGTCCTCACACAAATGTTCTAATGTGATATTCCCCTTGCTCTTTTTCTCGTTGTCACTCAGAATGTCATCCTCTGACTCTATGGAGGAACCTGTTGAGGAGATAGAGGAGTTTGACATATTCCGTCGTAGAGGACCGTCCACATCAGCCCAGTCCTCCTGCCCGATCTCATGCGAGCAGCCTCCATCTGGGGTTATTGTCACCTGCGGTACACGGAGCACCTCCATCATACTAGTTTGCGCTTGAGTGGAGTTAACCTCAGGTAACCTTACTTCTGTCATCTGGCACAGTTCATCGCGAATCTCAGATGCTTTGCAGCTTGTTCTGCGCTCTTTAACAAACCCTTCACTAATCCCAGCGCCAGACAGACCTGCCTCCTTGGAGGTCTTTCGCCTCTTCTCCCTCTCCTTCGGCATTCGACTGATGAACGTGCGGGAGTGTGCACAACCGACGTAATCCCAAATTGCACGGCGCTACGATTTGGTAATCTCAACGAGGTACTATTTTTGAGTGCAACTCTCAATGTATTGTGCAATACTGCAATGGGTGTTCCTCTGTTTAGGCTACTGTCCGGCATAGAGAGATTTTAGGCGGTCGTCATCGGCGGTCCAATGTGTTGACTGGTATTTTGGGGAACCCCACTCCATGGCGCACACCGCGTCGACACACACAAACTTATCTTCCGCATTGGTTGTGGTTGTGCCTGTGCCTGTTCCTCCTCCTCTTCTTCTTCTTTTTCTTCTTCTTCTTCTTCTTGTGGGTTTTATGGCGGACTACAACCCAAAAAGGTGTATTGCCGCCACCAACTGGAGGGTTGAAACCAAAACAAGGTAAAAAGACAATCCATACATAATAGGGAAACTAACTTAATCCACACAAATACAAATAGTACATTGACAAAACAAAACAAAACTCACACTTCTTCCTTCTTTCAAATCTCCATATCTCCCTTCTCGGGCTCTAGGGCCTGAGAGGTTGGTACAGCTTTTGACAATATTCCATGTAACTCCTTTGCCAAGAAACTTTTAGCCCAGGAACCGCTCCGCTATATCAACAATGATTTCTATCTTCCTGGACCTTCTCTCCACCTTTAATCACCATAGCTATAAAGGCCACAAAGTCCACCTTATTAACCTTTAAAATGTCAGGATCCTGCTGGTGAAAGGCAACCCCTGCAGCCTGCAGTGAAGGCCTATCCACCACCATGGACTCTTCAAGTGCACCATTCAAACCCTCAACCCTTTTAACAGCTGCTGCATATGAAATGCTCTGGAAAGCCCTGACTTTGGCCACCTCATTCTCTTTCACCCTTGTGGGGCATTCAAAAGAGTTGGCTTCATGGTTCCCACCACAATTGCAACATGTCACATTTTCATCACTTTTATAACACATTATCTTTTCCACAACTTGGACATAATAATAATAATATGCCATTTAGCAGACACTTTTATCCAAAGCGACTTACAGTCATGTGTGCATACATTTTTATGTATGGGTGGTCCCAGGGATCGAACCCACTACCAATTGAGCTACAGAGGACATCTCGGCATCTCCCTTCTGCAAACACTTGAAACATGACCAAAAGCTTTACAATGATCACACTGCATTGGTCTTGGGATAAATGATCTGACTCTGTAGTTAATATACCCTAACTGCATTTGAGTAGGGAGAGACTCAATATCAAAAAACAAAAGAACAGATGGACTCTTCACTTTTTCTTCATTCACCACACGATTCATCCGACGTGCATCAATCACTCCAGGAATATTTGTAATCTCTTCAACATCGACTTCCCACGAGACGCCAGATATAACCCTCTTGAGGGGTGCCCTGTTTCTAAAAGACACACACGACACTTCAAACGTATCAAATCAGGTGAGCCTTCACTCTACCCAGCACTCTCTCCATCAGTTTGGATATCTCAAATGGATTCCTCAAGATTGTAATTCGATCAACTGCTCCTCATTTACAAACCGTACTCCTACAAGATACGAAGTGACATTCTCATCACTGTACTCTACTTTGCCCCGTTTTCCATTCTTTTGGACAATGTTCAAATGCACATTTACATTTTAGTCATTTAGCAGAGTGCATACCCCCTTCATTACTTTCCAACCCCACCTTTCTTTCCCAATTGGAGTAAATTAGTGAACAACAATGCTCTACCAACTGAGCTACACGGGACTATTCTCCTTGATTCTCCTTGATTCTACCGCCATTAGATTCAGAATCCACTTCATCATCTGCTCTCCGATCACAACAACCTGATTGTGTCTCTCTTCCTGAATGAGTGAAATATATTTCTTCTTCTTCTTCTTCTTCTTCTTCTTCTTCTTCTTCTTCTTCTTCTTCTTCTTCTTCTTCTTCTTCTTCTTCTTCTATGGTATATTGGCGATTGCACAATTTAATGTGCATCCCACCACCCCAAAACGGAACAACCATCAAGAAAACTAAAACAAAAAATAATTATAATAATAATAATACACAAAAAAAGACCAAACTACTAATTAAATCAAACAACTTAACTATTTTTTTTAGGGGGTAGATCAGCTTTAATATTTCAGATAGATTGTAACTTCCATCAATGTAATTGTCTGCATCACTTCCAATCCCCCATATGTTTTTCTTCTCGCAAATATATATATACATACATACATACATACATACATACATATATATATATATATATATATATATATATATATATATATATATATATACACATACACATACACATACACATACACATACACATACATACACACACATACACACACATACACACACATATATATACACATACATACATATATACATACATCCATACACACACACATATCCTTTTTTAAATTAAATTTCCCTTCATTACTTTCCAACCCCACCACCGCTTCCCCAATTGGAGTAAACTAGTGAACAACAACGCTTAGGCCTCTACTTCCAGCCCATACATACTATATACATTTTATGGACACAGTCAAATTCTACAATAATTATATTTTGTTTGTTTTTACTCCTGAACTTCCTCTGATCATTTTCATGATGTCCATCTGGTTTGCGTCTATATGCCATATTTTTCTAACTGTGCTCTTTCACAAAAGCTCTCAACCTATAACCTATATACTTATTATGGACACAGTATGCTTTACATTAGTTATCTTGTTGTTATTAGTCCCATCCTTCAGCTCCATTCAACACCTCCCATCTATCTCTTAACACCATCCATATTGGATTTCTATTTGCCATATATTTTTCAACTGTACTATGATGTTTTACAAAAGTTCTGAACCTTTCTATTCTCATTGTTTCTACAGATCATAAATTGAATATAAACATTTTTGCTAAAAGTATTATTATATTATTGATCGATTGACTATGACTTTTCAGATCACCCAGTAGTGCTTTCTGCAGGGTTAGCTCCAGGTAAATATTGCAATCCTTTAGCCATTCCTGGACCTGTGTCCAAAAACAAGCTACAAACAACTTAACTGTTAAAAAAGAAACAGATCTGATCCCTACACATGCTCAAGGGGAGCCTGGGAGGGCGGGCCATCTTACGGCACCAGTACCCCTTGCAAGTCTTCAGATGTAAAGTCCCAAAAACTTTTCTGCCGCAGCCACAATAATGTCCAGTTTCTTAGACTTCTTTGAGACTTGAGCAGTACAGTTTATAACTGTGGCAATGAACCCCACAACATCCACCTTCTTAATACACAGGGTATCTTTTGACTGGCAACAAACATTTACTACAGGCTTTGGTGCATCCACTACCATATCTTCACTAGCATATTTTTTTCTCTCAATTCTTTTAATCACCTCTTCATAAGAGATTTGATTGGTCTCTCTAACTTTTGCCACCTCAATCTCCTTCACCCTTACAGGGCACTCCAGGAACTCGGGATCATGATCCCCACCACAATTGCAACACCGTCGACCTTCTACACAACGTTCTTCAGTATACTCCGTCCGTCTGCACACACTTGAAACATGGCCAAATCCTTTACAGTTCTTACACTGCAGTGGTTTGGGAAAGAAAGCTCTTACAGTGTATCTTACATAACCAAGCTTCACATGCGTAGGTAGATGCTCTTTATCAAAAAACAACAGGACCGACATACTTTCTTATTTTTCTCCATTCACCCAGCGTGTCAGATGCCGGGCACCAACCACACCAGGAATTCTCTTCAGGTATTCAACCTGAATGTCCGTCGTCAACCCTGAGATGACTCCTTTGACAGGTGCTCTACTCCGAAGTTCAAAGCATGAAACTTCTGTTGTCCGGAATTTTTTGAGGCCCACTGCAATTTTAGACCACTCCTGGTCACTCTGACAGACTCCACTTTTCCCAGCGCATATTTCACAATTTTCGACACCTCAAATGGGTTGCATCCATATGCATCCTTACTAGGGCTGTTACCTGACCATATTACGGCCACACTGGCGGTCACGAGTCATGACGGCAGCTCAAAACAGAATAGCACACGTACTTCCTTAGAAATCGTTTTAAGAAAATATCCTTTCTATTTTATTAAGCTATGTTCAATCAATCAATCAAATGTATTCATAAAGCCCGTTTTACATCTGCAGATGTCACAAAGTGCTATACAGAAACCCAGCCTAAAACCCCAAACAGCAAGCAATGCAGATGTAGAAGCACGGTGGCTAGGAAAAACTCCCTAGAAAGGCACGAACCTAGGAAGAAACCTAGAGAGGAACCAGGCTCTGAGGGGTGGCCAGTCCTCTTCTAGCTGTGCCGGGTGGAGATTATAAGAGTACATGGCCATTTAAGGCCAGATTGTTCTTCAAGATGTTCAAACGTTCATAGATGACCAGCAGGGTCAAATAATAATCACAGTGGTTGTAGAGGGTGCAACAGGTCAGTACCTCAGGAGTAAATGTCAGTTGGCTTTTCATAGCCGAGCATTCAGAGGTCGAGACAGCAGGTGCGGTAGAGAGAGAGAGAGAGAGCGAGAGAGAGAGAGAGAGAGAGAGAGAGAGAGAGAGAGAGAGAGAGAGAGAGAGAGAGAGAGTCGAAAACAGCAGGTCCGGGACAAGGTAGCACGTCCGGTGAACAGGTCAGGGTTTCCTAGCCGCAGGCAGAACAGTTGAAACTGGAGCAGCAGCACAACCAGGTGGACTGGGGACAGCCAGGAGTCATCAGCCCAGGTAGTCCTGAGGCATGATCCTAGGGCTCAGGTCCTCCGGGAGGGGAGAGAGAGAGAATTAGAGGGAGCATACTTCATGTGCTATTTAAAAAAAGTATATATTCTTGTACATTGTGGACAATTCTCTGTCGTGATGTATGTTCTGAAATGCAGGCAAAACAAATTAATTATTTCAAATTCAACATTGTTGTCACACCCTGGCAATGGGACTCTAGTTGTTGAGCCAGGGTCTGTTTGTTCTATGTGGTGTGTTT